AAAAAAAAAAGACCATTTCCTATGGTTGGACAGGATGATCTTGGAAGTCTTTTCCAACGTTGGTGACTCTATGATTCTATGGGAAGGTCCTGGGTGACTAGTAGCATACTGTGTTGTCCCAGACACAATATCCCCCCCCCCAAACACATACCCACACCTTGTTTCAAATAACACAGGTCAAACACCACAGAGAGCTCTTGGCATACCGAGCTCAGCATATTTTCCAGAAATAAATGATAAACATTCTTATTAAAGAGCCCTTGAGATAAGTTTGTCAAGCTGAGTTGCCTGCTTCCCCAGGTTCAAGCAAGAGTACTGTTGTTCGTTTTTTTTTTTTTTTTTGGCTTATGTAGAAAAAACTAAGAAATTTGTGTACATCTCAGTAACTCTTAGCTTCTCCATGAGGGCATATTTGCTATTAACCCCCATAGATCCTTTGTGAATTAAAGAAGAGAATCTGGCATTGATAACCCATTGCTGCCCCATGACCTGAAATTTTCACCATGGGGGAACTGCCAAAGTCCTCTCTTTTGCAGAACAGTCCCTTTCCTCTGTAAGGTTGGTAGCATGGTCTAACTATGGTCATATTTAGCCATACCAGAGGGCTTTGCTCATGACAACATAGCTCATAGAAGTAATCTAAAGCCATTCCAGTACCAAGTGGCAGCTCTTAGACCCACACAGACAGGAGTTTAGTCCTATCTCCAAGTGAAATTTAAGGACTAATATACACAGACATGTTGACACATGGAGAGAATTAGGTATCTATCCTCCTTGTGAAGAGCAGAGTTGAGATCTTAGCATTTCTTTGACAAACAGTGCTTTGAACTTGGGCAAAGACCTTGTTTCCAGCAAAGAGTTGGTACTGGACTGACAAGACTACTCCTCCTAACCAAATTCATGGCCAGGCTCACATGCCACAATGCTGGTAGCACATCAGCTCTTCTGACTTCTGTCACAAAATCCATAGATTTTATGAAATTAATGAGATTCATAAATTCGTAAGAATCATTATGGCTAGAAAAGACCTCTAAGATCACCAAATCCAGCAATCAATCCATCCCCATCATGCCCACTAAACCATGTCCCTCAGTGCCACGTCTCCATGGTACTTGAGCACCTCCAGGGATGGTGACTCCATTAATCCCTGGGCAGCCTGTGCCAATGCATTACCACTCTTTCTAAAAATAAATTTTTCCTAATGTCCAACCTTCCATGCACAAGCAGCCCATTCGCATACAACAGTAACTCAGGCAGGTCTGAGATATGCTAGATCCACAGCACATGTGCAAATTGGTCTCTATGTGATGATCCCAAGGCTTCCAAGAGCCCACGGTGTCCTTGTGTCTGAACAAGCCTGGTGGAATCAAGACACCAAGAGTCAGGCAAATCTGCATATGAGCAAGGTATCCAAAGCCTCCACAAACTTGCAGACTTGCCACACAGGCTTCACTGATTACAAGGAGTGGGATTCAGCTCGCAGACTCAAACACAGAAATGTAGGTACCCACAGAACCACAAACAAGCTTATCAGTGTCCTGCAGGCATTTTGATCTGGAGCAACCTGCCTGTCCTCTAGGAGCAGTTCCAGAACCATCATGGATCTATGTCATGCCTGGCAGCTCTAGAAAGATGTCTCAGATGGCCCAAGATGTTGCCAAAAGCAACAGACTGTTGAGATTAGGCAGGTGAACTGAGCCAAAATTTCCCGTGAACTTCCTGTTTCATGTTCCTATATTTTGTCAGTAAAGTCAAAAGAGGGCTTTATTTCAGCTTCCCTAGGTGCAACATTGCCTGGGCTTGGTTCTTGTTATACCAAAGACCCTGTAGGAGACCTATGCCCATTGAATCATTAGTTGGATACTCAAAGGAATTATCCCAGGTGATATCAGATACCTGTGCAAACACATTGAAAATTCAGTCTCCAATGGTTGTAGCAGGAGTTTAGACTCTCCGAGCACATGCAGTACTCTCCTACACACATGTTGAGATGTTTTAATCTGCAAGTTGAATCCTGCTTGAACAATCAGTCTAACACAGCATCCTTTGAAGCAGCAAAACCCAGCAGCAAGCAATTCTTTGACCAGCAGCTAACCAGGCCATGAAGAAAGAAGCTGTGACCCAATGTAATTTGAAAGCTTTGCCGTTTCATTGCTACCCAGCCTGGCTTTGGAATTTGCTTACTGATCTCTTTTATTTGCAGGTGTGGATTATTTTCCCTCATCGTACAGTCATTTGGAGGCACATAGCCAGATTTACATTCCACAGGGCTACAATCCGGTCTGGGATTTGCCTGCGAGTGTCAACAGGTGAAGTGTTAAGTAATGAACTCGGTGGTAGTGTTAAGAGGAGGTCAGCTCCGCTTCTCTCCAGGTTGGTTTCATGCAAGGTCTGCAGCATTAGGTCGATTCAAACAGCCGTCTAAAATAGATCTGTGCTCTGAGCCTGACCCTTTGAAGCCTTATTCCATCTTTTGCATTTCCTGACACCCTAAATTGTGTTTCCTTTTGTCAAAGAGGAGGAACAACAAGGCTATGTTGAGTACATCTCAGCTGGCACTCAAGAAACGAGAAATAAACCAGTTCTGTGATATTCCTTCCTGGGATATGTGAGATAATGGCCATTCCCAATTCTGCAGCACTGATGTGTGTGGGAAGTGGTGGTAGCCATAAGGTGTCAGCTTGTTATAGTGAGGATTTATTTCATGCAAGCATCCATCGTCTTGGACCTGTTTTTTCTGCCCTAGTCATTGATGTTGGGAATATCAACCAAGGAATATCAAGGTCACTGTGCAAAACTGGATAGCTTCAGTGAGAAAACTATCCCAGGACAGCCACACAGCAAGGGCAATATGCAGCAGTTAGAAATCCATTTGCAAGCGTCCCCTCCCTATCAGACAGGGTAGAGACTTGAACCATAGTAGAGACTTGATTCCCCTGGCTGAGTCACCAGCCATCCTGAGTGACTGATAACTCCAGCCCAGTCTTGAGCAACCTTACAGGAACTCTGATTTCAACAATCTGTAGCTTTCCCAAGGAAAAATTCTTCCTTTGAAATTGCTGCTCCCCTCTCTGTTTCTCGTGCTGCTACCTCACAAAGCTTGGATTCCAAGCGCTTTCAAAATTAAAGAAGTAACTGGGGTCCCACCTCTCCTTTAGACCCACGTTCACAGTTGAGATTGCAAGTAGCCTTCAGCTAGTTGGTGTGAATAAAGATAGGTGTGTTTTATTTTTTTAAATATTGATTGCCATCACACCTAGACTGAGGTGATACACAGCACCTTCAAACATCCAGCAGATGTTTTTTATTTTCCATGCTGCCAGAACAGAAGATTTGACTTTGCAGGAGTTCTCTCAGAGGCATGGTTTCTGCAGTGTCAGCTGGGACAATAGAGCATCTTAATGAGGTGGAGCTGGCAGGACAAGTAAATAGCTCTGAAATGGGTACATGAAGGATGTGGGCTGTTATGAACAGCTAAGTCAATAAATGCACATTTACTGGTTCAAATGTGGAGTGAGAACACCATCCCCTATCTTTCCTCGCTGGGTCACCAGGGAGGAGTTTGGCAAATGGAGGGCTGTGAAGAAGCTGACCTTTAAGCTTGTTAATTAGTGATAATTGAGTGGTCCTCAAGAGCTCTGAATAAGTTCCTCGGCTGCTACAGGTTGGCAGGGCCTGCTTGGCACACCCAGTCTTAACTGCAGATGTTGTTCCTGTGAGAAAGAGGAAGGTTACACATGAAAATGCAGCAGACACTCCAAATTCATACGGAATGACACGCAACCCAAAGGCTGGCTGCGCAACTTCGTTGAATTAGTTCTTCCTCCCCTGTAATTAGGAGGGTTTGAGATCTGGCTGCTATTGTTGTGATGATAGTCTCGATCACAATCATACTCCCTGCTTTGTGGAGGTGTCTCCAGTGCCCACCACCACTGAGGACCACTCCTCGTGCCAGGTGATGTGCAAATACAAGATGAGGCAATGGACCCGATCCTAAAGCTCTCAAGTCCAAGAGATCTTTTTTACCTAACCCCATTTACATCCATCAGCAATGATGGCATATAAACACCCCCTGGCTATTAGTGTAGGTTGCCTGAGCCAGTTTGCCTGCTGGCAGAACAGCCATAGCCAAGGAGGCCACCAAGTCATACCTGTCAAGCAGATGTTTTGTATGTCATCTAAATGCAAAACTAACATTAAGGTCATAACAGTAACACGGCCCGGCTTAACTAGAGAAAAATGAGGTTCACCTTTTAGCAACAGTTATCAGATGTGTTATATCAAGGAAATTATTTTTTGCCATGTGAAGTTTGGAAGTAGTACAAGTCAATAAAAAAGTCGTTGGAATTCTGCTAGCTCACCAAGCATGTGTTTATACCTTGCTGGCATAAAGAAGGTTGGAACTGCTCTGCAAGTAGAGGCCATGGGCTAAAAGCTGACATGATCTGCAGGGAAGAAATCCGAGAAGTAGCCAGGCATGGAGAGACAATACATCTGAGAAGGGAATATAGAACAACCATCCACCATTTCTCATAATATTAAAACTAGGAGACATCCACTGCAATTTACAAGTCAAAAGCAAAAGTGTTTTTTCTCCTCATGGGACATAGTTCCAACAGTCGAGCTCATTGCTGCTGGGATAAATATTTAAATTTATCCGGGTTTAAAAGGAGTGAAACAAAATTCATTGAGGAAAAATGCATGAAGATTTTTTTGAACTCAAAGATAGAACTCAATTAGAAATCTCTATGCTGGAGATTGCTGGAAGTACCCATCAGTGGAACCCTATGTTTGTTCTGTTCTACTCTTCCCAAGCCATCTACTCTTGGCCTCTGCTAGACACAGGAGGTGTTAGATACAGCCAACGCTGCCCTCTAACAGATTCACCAAGAGGTAAATGGCCATGAAGAAAAACCTGGGAGAGGTTAATGTTCTTTTCTGTACGTAGGGAGAATGGCTTTCAGTAAAAAAGTGATTTATTCTTTCAGTCTGACTAAAGAATGTGAAGACTGGGTTAATTTCACCTAATATGAAACAATAAAAAAGTTCAATAAATAGAACAGGACATGTCCAGCTGATGATTTGTGTGACCAACCTTAGGTGTCTCTTTTAGAGATAAATCTCCCCCTAGGAGTGGCTCTTTTCTGTCTCAACTACAGAGCAAGCCTGGGCTAACTAACATCTAAGTTTTAGAAGCCTATGTTAGGACAGATGAAACCCTCCCAGAACTGCAAGCCTCACCTCAAACTTGCAGGAATCTCAATTGTGGCAAGAAGGTAGAACATAGGAAAAGTTTAAAAAAATAATAATATATATAGATACATAGATATATATATAGCATTAAGCTCTGAATAAAATACATGTATGTGAGTAAATAGTGTTGTGCTGGATAACTAAATTTTGATACCAACATTTATGTCAGACCATCAGGTTAGCATGCCATCTCGTAGCCCAACAGTAGTTTTTACTTGAGAATGTTAGAAGTCTATGATGTTTCCCATGGTCACAGAATCATTGGCTTGGTTTGGAAGGGATTTTAAAGACGGTGTAGTTCCAACCCCCTTGCTGTGGGCAGGGTTACCACCCACAGGATCAGTTGTCCAGGGCCCCATCCAACTTGGCCTTATTGAAACTCATTTTCATGGATCCACTTTTCAAGCCTGTCCAGATCCCTCTGGATGGCATCCCTTCCTTCAGTTGTATCATCAGCACCACACAGCTTGGTGTCATTAGCAAACCTGTTGAGGGTGCACTTGATCCCACTGTTTGTGTAATGGATCATTGGTCCCACAACAGACCCCTGGAGAACACCACTCATGACCAGCCTACAGCTAGATGTAGATCTGTTGACCACAATGCTCTGGCTGCAGCAATCCAAACAATTCTTTATCCCGAGAATAATCCAGTCTTCAAATCCATCTCTCTCCAATTTAGGTATAAGAATGTGGTGCAGGACCATGGCAAAGGTCTTGCACAAGGGTAGATGACATCAGCTGCCCTTCCTTTGTGCACTGATGCCATCCGTCCATTACAGAAGGCCAAGATCTACCTGAAGGAAAAAGCTCTTGAAAATCACAAAAATTTCAAGTAAAGGCCATTTCTAACTAGGGATAAACCCACAGCTGAAAACACTGAAGTAGATTTCATTTCTGTCCCCAAAAAAGGCCTAGAAGTCTGTCCAGACCACAAGACAGTGTATCCTTAGTAGGACTAATCCAAAGACACTGTACTCAACTACAAAGCACAAAAGTTTGGGCTGAGTCAGCTGGATTTTGGTCCTGTGGTTGCAGTGAATCTAGATAGTTCAAACCCTGCACTCACCTTGCTAAACCACCTGGTGACAGGTCTTTCAGAGCATGCCAGTGCTGGTGAGTAAAATCCTCTTTCTGGCCCAAAGTCATAGGAGCTGTGTTGTCTTTTCACTTCCACAAGAGAAGATCTTCTTGACAGATTCAGGTGCTGGTTGTAAATACAAATTGTGCGTGAGTTTGAAGAGTCTGCAAGTGCCACAAACCCTACTCATATTGGTTTTTAAAGACTAATATGAATGTACTGTGGAGAAAAAAGGAAAAAAAAAAAAAAAAAAAGAGAAAAAGCTTCAGGACATTTCCTTCCCAACCTGCTGTAGACTGACTATCAAAGAGAATAAAACAATCTATTCCTAGAAACCAAAGTCATTCACAATTTGTGAGGACATAGTAAGTTGCACGTACTTATTCCAGGTCTTTGATCCCTTAGCATCAGCAATTTCCCTCCTTCTTTTGTAATACTCCAAAATATCATGCTCCCACAATGGTCTCTAACTGTAAAATTCTCAAAATAAGTAGGATGAAAAAGTTACTTCAGACTCCAGCTCATGCAAATACAGGGTATTTGAAGGATGAAATGCTTTAGAATCAACATTCTGGAGAAACAGAAATGAAACCTCTGTCACCATGTTCTCCATTCAATAAATTCACCTTTGGATGTTCTTTAACTACTTCAGTCCATCTCAGATGCTCCAAGTAATGATAATGCTTTTACCATATCTCCCCTTTCATATTCACTTAGGTGCTCTGGGTTACCAAATGACTTGTGCCCTTTGTTCTTAAACCTTCTCATTAAAGGTCATCTCATCCATAATGCTCCCCCACTTCTGACCTCCTTAGTGACCTTCTTATTGCTAATCTTTCAACATTGCTGTCATGTATAGCCACAGGCAGACAAAAACTTTAGATTCACAAAGCATGGGGAATATTTATTCTGTGCCCCGCAACCCAGGGAAATCTAGAAAAGCCCACCCCTGAAGCAGAGCATCTCTTGAGATGGTGTAAAACCAACTCCTGGAAGAAGATATTAAATAAAAGAGTTACAACTCATAAATAAGCATTTTGACTTGAGTTCCAAAATTGTCTTCCTTGTTCACCAGGGGAGCACGGAGAGACATCTGGCGGCTGAATAATTTTCTGCAGGTAAGCACATCTCAGGACATGTCTTTGCTAGGCAGATGTGCCATTTAGTTCACATGAAACACTATCTCACATATCCCAACTCAACAACAAATCTGTTCAGTGGGGACAAAATGTCAAAAATGTGTCTGATTGCTTCTTGATCTCTTCAACGGCGTATTTTGCTGGGAATTACTGCCAGATCTGAAAGGAACTGGGCATGGTTTTCACTTCTTAATCCACTGAGAAAGACTATAGTTTGGAACAGGAGCAAGTCTGGGTCTGACAAGTTTATATAAACAGCCTCTTGTACTCATCATACACAAATCCTTTTGCTCTAAAAATCTCCTACCATTTAACCTCAACAGTCAATAATCTCAGAACTGCATGTGAACAGATACGTGAGCATCCAACAGAGGCACTGTCAGTAACTCCAGCTAATCCTCCACTGCATGACTGGTGTGGAAACTTCCTCAAGATCTTTAGATGCTGGACTTGCTGGAGATGCCACACCTTGTCTGATGGTTAATCCCTCCTCAGACTCAACTTGAAGACTCATCAAGATAGACATTTACTCTAGAGTTGTCTACTTCTGGGATGAAATAAAAGGCAAGAAAATATTGACAAAAATGAGCTTCTGTCTGCTCTGTAGCACTGCATTACTACATTGTCTTCCCGTGTTTCTTGACATCCTGAGAACTGAAGTGTTGCACAGAGCTGGATGACTATCACTATCCCCATCTTGCTATGGGATTCATTAAGGCACAGGAGTCCATAGCAGCTGTTTTAAGCTGTAAATATCCATCATCAGAAGTGCTGCAGTAGTGGCATATACTCTTTGCCCACCTGTGCTGGTTAAATTCCTTTTCCCACTCCAGCTCCCTAACAATCAAAAGGCTTTTTGGCACTCGCTAAACTCCAAGGTTGGAAAAGACCCACAGGATCACCCAGTCCGACCATCCACTATTTTGTCTTCTATTATCAGCATTGCACTGTATTTCCCCTTTACAAATCCTCTTCAATACTCATGACCACTTCAGAGAGCAACAGTGAGTAGCAATGCAACAAGAGTACAGCCACTCTTTACACAAGCCTGGACGTAAAACCAACAGTTAAATTTGACAGTGAACTGTTGGTGTTGACAAAATGGAATAACTCATCACTTCTATCCATCTCAAACATGATTTTTTCAGGCCTAGCAAAGACCACGCCATCATAGCTTTGTTAAAACTCTTTAGCACAGACCTTCTGCTTCAGTCATGGAATGACTGAGCATGGAAAGGACCTAAAGTTAAAGCACTATGATGGGCCAACCTCCCCACAAGGCCACACTAGGCATTAATACCAAAACCATGGCAACAGTTCTCTACGTCTTTCCTTAACTAGTTCTTCTAGTAGTGAGTTCATATGTCCATAAATTCCCCAGTCCATTTTATTTCAGGCAAGTAGGTACACTTCCTTATCTCAGGACCCAACTGGTTGTTTCACCAACTGAAGTGCAACCCCTGTGTTACTGAGACTCTCTGCAACCCGTGATGCCTCCCAGTGGTAGCATTTGATTTTGGCTACTGAGCTTATAGGAAAAGGGATGACTTTCTCTGAACAACATGCTTTCCCTCACTGTCCAGCAAAGCAAAAGATAGCAGATGCTGGGATTATTAACCTACGCTGCCCTTCCAGCTTTGTGACCTCAGCATTTGAGCACCTCATGGTCCTTATCATATTATTTCCCACATCTTCTCCATGAGGCAGTGAAGTTGTCTATATTTTATGAATGAGAAACAGAGGCATCAAGAAACCAAGAGCCATTTCACCTAAATTCATTCCTCTGAATATTAGGTATTAAATTCTCCTGCTGTCCTTGAGAGAGACAGATGGGTACATCTCCCTCTACAAAACCTGCTGAAATGAGAATTTGACTGGTAGCACCTTGAGCTTATGATTTTGCTCTGCCCTTGAAATGGATGAGATAAATCACTTTCTGGACAACTAGATCTCTCTAACTGTAGAAGGTGAAAGACTAGCTCAGATTCGTGTCTTGTGAGAGGTGCCCCATATCAAATAACATCTCCACTGCTACATTAAGGAATTGCATCACAGCAATCAAACCCCTTCATCCAAAGAGTCCACCTTTCAACCTTTCTAAGATGCCTTTCAGCAAAAAGGGAAAATATTTGATCCATGTATTGGGTAGGGAATGGGTCTTGCAACAGACTGACCTTGCAACTCCTTCTTCTCCTAGATTTCCACTGACGTCCTCAGGACCTTTTTCTCAAACAAGGTGAGGCAGTACAAATGATTGTAGCTGGAAAAGGCCCTGAAGCTTCATTCTGAGCGTAGCTTGATGAGATAAGGCTCTGCCGATGCTACAGCTGGGAGGCTGAAAACCATTTACCACTACAGAGCACAATCTGATCTACCTATTTTGTTGGTCTAATCTCTCCTAATTTTGAGTAATCTGGATAAGGAGATGTTTTGTACCCAGAAGTACTTTCTGCTCCAGGTGTATCAGATGGCTTACATAAGATATCTCTCCTCCCTGCAACCTCGAAGTGGCCTAAATCTGTTGTTGTAGCGTTGATTTTCCCCTGCATATACAGCGTGTTTCTCACTACAAGTTCAAGGTCCTGACTGAAGGAACATCTCTCACTCTCCTTTTCCCCAATAAACTGCCCAGATTTTTCATTTTCTATCAAAGTACCAAAAAACACATGGACTGCTCCCTCAGAACAGCTGCCAGAGGCTCAGAGATGCTTTCTGATGCTGCCTAAACTTCATCATTCAAAAGGCTGATGAAACAGAAGCAACACCTCCACCAGGGTTGGGTGATCCTGGAGGCTGGTCACTAGCCAGCAGCAGAGGCCAGCTTGCCAGCTGGAGCCAATTGACCTGCTTAAACACATACTGGATCCAAAGCAGAGTCCCACTCCCTCTTAGAATAGAAGTCACCTGAGGGAGGATTTGCTTTATCATCACTCTTGCAAATCTGTGTCTAAACCAAGCAGTGCCTCTCTGAGGCATGTGAGAGCACCAGACTCCTGGAGGAGCTTCTTGTACCCCGTTATATGTAGCTCACCTTGGCTGACTTGCTTTTAGACAACTACGTTTTAACCAAGAATACCCTGTTCTTGCTGGGTGCACAAAACCCACACAGTGCTCTAAGTATGGCATGAATACAGCCACTTTGTTCCTGACCTTCATTAGATCATAAATTCCCATTCATTATCATATCTCGTTCTACACATACACATTTCAACTGCAAAACAACAAGGGTTTTCCTAAGCAGAGTAATTAATCTGGAACAAAACTGCTTTCCTTTGGAATAGTGGAAAGCTAATTCTGAAATATCTATTCTGGTCACATTTTCCATGAAGACAAGTCCTGAGGAGATGTAAAACTGGCAGCACAGACCTTAGCTTCGTATCCCCTGTAGTGAATTTCTCAAAGAATGCCTATTGTCTTGCTTGCCTCTGACTGAGAGATGATAAAACCAAGGAGCTGAGGGGAGCGCAGAAAGGAAAAGCTCTGCTGCGTAGGGAGCGCTGCACATTGCATGGGAAATCTGGGCTCCTTTCTGGCAAATGTATTTTAATTACCCCCCTTTGTTGACAGGACCAGTTCTCGTACTGTCCTACAGCACTACCCGTGCCAAGCAACCCAATCTTTCCAATCCTCCCCCCATTTAAATGAGATCTATTTAGAAATCATGATGCTTTAAGAATAGTTCAAGCTGGATTCCTGTCATTTATTCTGATTCCTGAGTCCTTGCGCCCTCAAGTCTGGCTCTGAGTACTAAAATTCCAGGGAAGATATATATATATATTGACTTTTCAATTCATTTATCACATATCTGACAATGGGAACATCAGCAAAGTCCAACATGAAAACTTTCTAGTATAATCACAAGCTTACCATAAGCAAGGAAAGAGTCAGCCAGAAGATATGATCATTGCACATCGGGCACTGCACACGAAGATAGATGTGTGTGTGTATAAAAATATATACATAGTTCATCCTAGCACTGATGTGGGTGGGCACCTACACTATAAGGCACCTGTTATAATGCATCTCCAGTGAATTTTGCCCCCCAAAAAATCATCTGTAAATTTCTCTTTTGCAAATTGCCTTTAGCCAGGATGCAAAAGCTCCAGCATGTGTCTTGGGGAGAGCAGAGGCTCTGTACAAGGGGACATGCTGGTGTACAGTTTATTCCAGTGAAATTCACAAGCCACTCAGAATGAGAGATGAACAGCTGAATAATTTCTGGTTGAGAATTCATTTGTGGACCCAGAAAGAAAGATCTGGATTTGTTGAGTAATTCTGTTGTGCTGATGCTTCCCAGCACCTGTTGCTGTCCTTGTAATTTTCCCATCCATGGAATTGTCATTCTATTTATCCAGGCCAGTCCTTGTGCATGACAGTAGATCTGTCCATTTTGATATGAACCTGGAGTGAATGAGGATTGCCTGTGGTAAGGCAGCCAGGAAAAGGTCTGATCCTCCGCTTATCTCCAGGCAGGGACCTTTCATTTCTAAATTGTTAATAAAGGGACGTGTGCACCACCAGCAACCACCACCCACCTATTTAACAAACTTAACTGTGAAATTGGATCCTTCCCATTTAGCCTGGTTTTGCCTTTGATGCAGTTCCAAAGCTTAGGTTGCCTTATTTGCCTTTAATTTCTAATCCAGGCATATAGCCAAGTTTAGGACACATTGTATGTATTACAATAACCTCAGCACCACTGTTACACCAGCATCCTACAGCTCAATAACAGCTCTGATGAGTCAGACCAAGAGTCTGCTAAGCCCCCAAACCTATCTTCATTAGTAAACAAAAGAAGATGCTCAGAGATGACTGCAAGAAACAAGAGGAGGATCCCTTCTCCTGCTAGCTCTCCTTAGAGCCCCATGCTGTTGAAGAGGATGGCTGGATATCATCAGGATGAGGCCTGTCCTCATGAAGGTGTTGCTCAACCAAACACTGTTGTGTCAGTTGTCCCTTCTTGGCCATATTCGGGTGTTCAGCCTTCATCTCTGATGTGCCCAAATCGGTGCAGAGGTGTGGCTGTGGGGTCGGTAATGGGAATCACAGTGGGGGAAGCCATGGAGCTTCAGGGCTCTCTCTCCTCTGTACCCATGGGAGTTATCAGCTGGTATTTCTGTATGGTGCCTGACAACAGGCAGAGTGGGATCCAGACACGGAATGGAGAACAGGTTTGGCTAACTAGGAAAATAGATGTATGGCCATGATCTTATATCCGTGGACTATCTAGGATGGGGTAATGGTGTTCTTTAGTCGGGAGTATTCAGATCATCAATGCTGAAAGATGTGAGGATGCTTTGAAAAGGGTCAGGAGCAACAGTATCATCAAAGGAGGTGCAAGTAAAACACTTGGGTTGCTGCACCATCATCTCGGATGGAAAGAGAGGTGATTTTGCCCTGTCCTTCCCTGAAGTAAAGATGGGATGGGTAATAAACATCTTACCCAAAAAAGGGTACACCCACTGGACCAGGTTGGCCAGGGCCCTGTCCAATAAAAAGGCCTTTGCACATCTCCTTCCTGAGCAAGCCTTGTGCCAGGGATACAGAGAGACAACTCTATCCCTGGGAGTATGCCAAAAAAGACCCAACTTAGGAAAATACCACGATAATGCCACTCCTCCCTTCTCCTCGCTGGCACGCAAGCCCTGCATCCCTCCACCTTCCCCCCAGTTTAAAACATCTCAGGCTTCCTGGCTGAACTTGGCTGAGGTCTAAAAACATGAATAAACTTCCCCTGTCCAAAAGCCAACTGGCAAGGCCAGCTTGGATGGAACCCTCTATTTGTTATGGGGAAAACGGCTGGTCCAGTTCTCCTTGTTCAGCAGCGCGCTGCTGGTCGGGAAATAAAGACAGAAGGTCTGTTTGTAACACTGAACACACAATCCCTTCCAGCCTCAAAGACACTGAGACGGCAGAAAATCTACCCTATTCACCAAGATGACCTAGTTCTGTTGTCAATAGGTTAGAGTGGAGCAAAGTTGAGGGAGAATATCCTGATTAGAGGGATCTCCCACAATGGGACAGTGAGTACCCTTTTGTCCCTTAATTTCCCCCCACAGCCCCATGCCCTAATGCCAGGCTTGCTATCAACACATAGCTCAGTGAGTTATGGACTCGTCCACTTCACCTCCTCCTCATTCCATTGCCATCTAAAAGCAAACTTTTTACACTGGGGCAGATCCTTCCTCGTGCTTTGTGTCACCTGGTGTGCATCAGCACATGCAGCAGAGAAAGAGTCAAGCAAAGATACATAACTCATGTCTGGAAAGCTGCAAAGTCCCTAAATAAGAGTGCAGGGATTAAATTGTTTGTCTGCATCCCTCCAGTGGCTGGAGGATGGACAGACAGACAGACAGTTTCCTTTTCGTTCTTTAATCACATTACAACGCCGCTCCGAAAAGCTTTTCCAAATTCAAAATGCTGAGACATCTGAAAACATGACGTGCTGCAAAGCCATCCCTCTGGATAGCACACTGATGATTTATTGATCGTTAATAAATGTTAGAAATGGAAGGTTGGAAGGAAGCGTTTCTCATTCCTCTCCCCCCTTTCTGGTGGCAACTGTTAATAAGGGATTTAATCACCCGTTTTACATCCTGCTTAAAAGAGAAGGGGCTTTCCCAATAACAGATGCCCCTCTGGCCAACTGGCAGAGAAAAGGCGAAGATATAGGGTATATAAATCTGTTTGAGATGAGAGGGAACAAACCGAGGGAGAAGGGAAGACAGAGAGAGAGTGAGAAGGAGGGAGGGAGGAAGAAGAGGTTAAGGGGGGGAGAAAAAAAAAAAAAGAAAAAAAAAAAGAACCTGAAAGGATTAGAAATGAAAAAGAAGGTATTTTGTGCTGAGCTAAATATTATTTTGTTTCCATTGAAAGGGTTAAGAAAACAAAGACAGAGTTGACAATTTCTCCCGACTGGAAGCTGGGAATGGCCCACGGTGGCACAATGCTATTATTCTTGCATGGGCCCATTCTCACTGGATTTTCCACAAAATCTTTAATAATTTGATTCTTTTCAGCCTCAGCAGCCAGCTGAGCTCTTTAAGAAACAGTAACAAAAACCCAGAGAAAAACCCACTACTGAGAGGGGAGCTTTGGCGGAGAGCTGAGCTGAAGCCGATTAGTTTGGCCTGAATAGAGGCAGCCGGGTCCTCGAGCTCTTGCTCAGCCTGGAGCCCTCCGCCTCATTCATCCCAGCACAATATCACCACCAGAGCCCGGGCCTAGACACTAAATTACACTATTATAAAACTAGATTGATACACAAACTTTCCCTCCCAGGCCGAGTGGGGGACTTTGAAAACAATGTTTTTGGGGGCTCGGGGCTCTATTCAAGCATTTCGAAGCATCCCCATTCATATTGAGCATATCAATTCTTAATTGTGCCACACACACAAGTTGAGGGGAGGGGATGCGATCCTCACC